TACTCAAACATCAAACTAGTGCAGAAGGCAGCTAACCATTCATCAAGGAGTTTTCCTTGTCATCAGCACAGGATACCAGGGCTCCAAAATCTGCATTTCATCTTTGGTCACTGTTTGGAGTTAAATTTTTCACCTACAGAATTCTTAACAGCTTGCAACCTGCTTGCCAATGACTTCTCTCCCCACTGTCCCCCATCTCTATTCCCACAACTGCATTCTCCTCCTTGCTATGAAATGCTGGACTGTAAGAGGTCTCACTCCTCATTGGATTTGCTGTCCTTTGCAACACTTGGCAAAAGCCATCTATATTTGACAGCTTCAAGAGGGCTTCAGGCTTATTCTACCTACTGCGATATTTCCCACCTGATTTGTTATCGTTGCTGGGTGTGTTATTCTGCTTGGTAGTATTGCTATAGAAATTGTAAATTCATCACCAGTACACCAAGAACACAATATTTTCTTAATATTTGAATTACAGAAAGACAACTTGATGTTTAAGCAGATAAATGACTGGTTAGTAAGACTATTTTTTCAGCATATGGAGCTTATAACCAACTTTCTGGGTGCATCAACGCATGCCATTAATGCGAAGCAATAAGACCTGGAGCAGTTTGACCCAGAACAAACTACTTCCGTGCGCAGCATCTGCATGAGCACCCAGGACAGCAGCAGTCTGAGCCAAGGCGGAGCAGGCCCAGGCTGACAGAGGGTGCAGGAGAAGGGGTCAGCCCCAGGCAGCAATGTCAGGCAGTGGAGAAGCTGGCTAGGGAACGCAGGCATTCAAAGCGAGGGGCCATGTGGCAAGGTGGCAGGAAGAAGTCTGGCCCGTGACTGGCTGGGCTGACAGGGCACAATTTACACTTGCAGTCAGCATCTATGCACGCATTTAATCGTAGTAAATCACCCCAGGGTAAGATAGTACTGTCCTTGACTGTTTTATGTTACGCCAGCATAAATTAGTTTATTGCAGCCTAATACTGTTTCACATATAGACAGTGGTGCTTTACCCTGCAGCTAGTGAGTCTACTCTGTAGAAAAGCACATGTGCAGATGTGGCCACTGTTACTGGTAGTTGCTCCAAGCTCCTTTTTCCACCCTACAATCCCAGGTGCCGAAAAAAGGGTGCGAGAATACTACGATCAGACTCGGCTTAGAGCTCCGCCTCTCACATAGCATCTGAATCTTCTTTACCCTCCCCTACTTTGGAAACAAGGATTTCATGAAGATGCCACAACCCAACTGTGTGGATACTGTTCCAGTGCTCTTTCACCCTGATATGGTCTTTGCCTTTCAAATTTCAGTACCTGATTGCATGTCAATTAGCATTCTCTCCACTCACCAAGCATTACCAGAAGGAATACAGCCTGCCAATTACAGTATCTCCTATATTCCCCATGAGAAGCAGGAGAGAGGACAATGAGCGGTAAGAAAACTACTGAAGCTGTCAGTCTGTAGACTGAGGAAGATAGCAGTCCACTAGAACACATATAGAAGCATTTTAAATGAACGTTTCAGCTTTGCAGTAATGCTAGCTTAACTCCCACCTAAGCAACCTAGCAAAGGAAGATTTTTTAATCAGTAAATAGATTCCTGAGCCTGGTAAGGTACAGGAGCCTGGTACGGAACAGAATCCAAAAGGATACAGGATCAATAAATGAAGGAGCAAGGCATACTCTTAATGAAGAAAGTGCACACCAAATACTGAGCCCTTTAGACTATTTAAAGAGCTTGGAAAGCCAAAAGGGGAAACCCAAACAGCAATGAACTTGAAATCTTCAGATTTACCTCCATCACTTAAGTATCTCTAGTTATGATAACCAAGGATCCTGGTTTTCTCTGTTTAAAAAAATTGCAAATTCATTAATAAACCCCCCAAAATCTACCCTTTTCCACAATTAAAATGAAACACCACTCGTTCATACACACACACCCCCCTCTGTGCCGCTGTCCCCACCCCCCCATGCTGCTGGGCCAACAGGGGGCTCCTCCCCATGGTGGTGCAGGGCTCCCAGCAGCAGCTCTTAGCCTCCCTGCCCCGCTCCGTCTTGCTGCACTGGGTCCCACCTCTTGCACAATGGAGGCCCCAGGGGGAGGGCAGTATGGCAGAGAGCCCCAAGCCCACAGCAGCCAGCCCACATCCACCCCCACACAAATCTGTGGGACATGTGGCCCCCATGCCCCTTGGGAGTGTACACAGCAATGAGAAGCCAGGCCCCCTGCTGTCCCCCAGAAAAGCTGCCCGCAGCTCCCCGCCTGAGCCCTGTGGCTGCACATTTCTACCCTGGCCCTGGACCCCAGGCCCCATGCGCAGCACTAGCTTAGCAGCATCCCCAGCCCTGCTCAACTCCCTCCCTCCACACGGGGGCCTCCATTCCACCCCCCCTTTCCACCAACTTACCTGTGGGGAGCTGCAGGAGTTGCTCTCATGTTGCCTGGCTGCCATAGGCATGTGTGTGCATGCACATGCATGTAGCATCCCCCATCTGATCACCCTGCTCTTGCAGGCTGGAACTCTGCCAGCCTGCAAGGGTAAACTCCCCATTGCCCACATTTTTTTCCCCTAAAAGGAAAAAAATCTGCATGTTTCTGCAGCAAACAAACAAAAAAACAAACAAACCAGATTCCTGATGATATCCTATTCAACTGATCATTAATATTAGTTTTAAAACATTACATTAGATCACCATCTACAGAAGAGCTAGCACGTGGAATCTTTTTATTCCCACTGTAATCACTAATGTGATTAGAGCACTGATAATCAAACTTCTAGGTCTTTTGTCAAAGAAGTTATATATATATGTATGGACCTAACATGGTCCATATATATATGGACCTCAGTCGCGGCAAGACAAAGGGTTTTTCATGGCCTGCTTGTGGTGCACAGAGCCGATTTCACAGGCATTTTCCAGCGGCCCAACCCTCACCGCTGATTGGCTCAGGGACCCCAGCAGTCCTGTCCCTTACTGCTAATTGACAGAGGGTACCTTCAGTCAGTCTGTGTCACTAGCACTTTTTTTTTTTGGTTGATTCCACGGGAAACTATGACCAATTCTGCACTTCCTGGCGACTATGGGCAATGCTGCTTTTCACAGTTTCCTCGAAATCCATGAAAGCCACGATTTAGGTAGGTCCTTATTTACATACTGTATCAACCCAATTATTTAAATGCCAAAAGGCAACATACAAAATTAGTCACTCCATATATAGCAGTTTTACATTCTGCTAGGTCTATTGAGTTGATATTTTATGATTTTATATTTAGTTTATATATTGATCTTTCTAGAATTGCTGGATACTTAGCACTGAATATGTTTCTAGGAAACAAGAATTTATGCCCTGTTCCCCCGCCTGCAAAAAAAAAAAAACACCAACTCTGGCCAGTTGTCTCTATCACCGAGTTGCTTGATCTTTCACTCAGAGTGGAACTGCTAACTGAAATACCAGCAATATAAGCATGCCTGCATGTTATTAAAGGACATAGTGGAAAATTTCACAGGCTGACATCCAAAATGTCTGCGGTTCCTTTTCATATTTCTCTCTTCCTGCAAAGCAGTTATTAGACTAGGATTTAAATCTATTTTTTGTGAAGCTCAGAAATTTCCACTGCTTTAGAGATCTATAGAAGCTTTTTCAATAGCAAAGCCCGACTAAGTTTAAATCCCAGATGCCATCAAACTAAAAAAAAAAAAACAACCATAAAATGTAATAATAAATTTTCAAGATCAATACAAATATAGACAACCAGATCAGAGCATCAGAAGGGCTGTGCAGCCATTTTGAAATAAACAGCAAAAATACAAAGGAGGAAGAACATAGGCATTTAGTCTATAATTATGAAAAGAATCATTTGAAAGCCAGCTAGGGATCATATGATTTTAAGGAGTATCAATGTCTTCCATTCAAAATCTATGCACCATATAGAGCCTATGGAAGCTCCCTTTGTCAATGTTTCTGTAAACTGTTCAGTATAATATTTAAGGGTAATGGCAGACAGTCTGGGCTAAAGAGAGGGCATCTGGTTAATATTTATTTATTTAACAAAAAGGACAAACATTTTAGAACTTCCCTTATTTTCAGAGGTATACCCTATGTGTAAAACAAGGCTGGATCAATGAAATTGAATATTAGCCCAAACAAAAATAATAAATAGAAAGGATTTTGACTGATGTTCTAAAAAAAAAAAAGAGAGAACACAAAAAACAAACAAAACCCCAAACAGATCCAGTTTACAAGTTTTAATTAAAAAGCCAGGTTTTTAAATAAAACATAACAAAAATAGATAAACGGGTATCTGATTTACAAACAAAAAGGCTCTTTATATCACTAGAAGATGTGTAATGGCACCTCACATGTGAATAAGTCCACTAGGTTATATGTCATCTTGAATCATTTGCTCTTTTTCACATTTTATTTTCTTTCTTAATAGTTCTCTTCAAATCAGTTCATTAAAAAAAAATGAAAAAGGATTGTTCAAAATTGTTTCTTCTACTATATTTTAAAAACACATTCTACTTAAGGTAACTTTAAAAATTCAAAGATTACACACACCATTAGTTATCACTAGGACTGGGAAATAATTTATTTGGATTTGCTAGAGAATTAAAAAGAGAACTAGGAAAAAAAACTAAAGCATCAAACATTCGTTTTCCTGGCCCACAAGCAAATGCAGGGTTTTGAATGTCCTTCAAAATAAAGTTCATCAAAAAAAAGTGCACCTGTAGTTAGTGACTCACCTTCCCACGTAGGCTAAGACAAGCAAGGCAGAAGTTCCCACCAGAATACAAAATTTCAAATTCATGGAATTACATTTGCCAAAACACATGACAGCTACAAAGTGATTCTATCCTTGCTGTGTGGTGAATTCACATGAATGCTACACTGGTTTCCCAAGCCAGATTATTGTGCTACAAGTAAAAAGTACCTTTTTTTTTTTTTAAGAAATCAGAATAAAATTATAGGATATACACAATATAGTGAAAGATGAGATATTTACATCACCTACTTTAATGTTTTTCCTAACTAGATGATTAAGTGAGCAGAATGTTCCATTTGTTCATTGCCTAACTGTACCTTCTGCTGCAAAAATTACTTTTCAATGTTCACATTACTAGTTCATTATTAATTTTTGTGCAAGTTTACAAACACTGATGCATTACAAAGATCTATTTTGCTACCTAAAATAAGGTAACTGTACAGAAAGTAAACAAGATATGCATATTTTTAAAAAGCTGTATAGCAGCACTGTAACTTTGCAGTGCTTGTATTCTCAACTTAGTATTCATACATGTATTACAGAAAAATACGCACAATTTCTATAATTGCTAAAGAAGCGTGAGTGACCGCCATTAATAAGAGGCTTACAAAAAGACCATTTTCCTCAACTCCTTGTCAGCTCAATATGTTGAGTGTTTAGAGAGATTTCTGAAACTGCCAGGACTAGTTAAACAATAGTTAAACAAAAAAGTTGATTGATGTACTTCCAGCAAGTTAGTTCACAAGCCATCTTGTCACCAAGCTTTTCATGCTGAATCAGCATTGGAAGCTGCACTTGACTTCACGCCATTATCTGTGTGTAAACAGCTTAGCTCATTCAATATTTGGCCAATGGGACTTAACAATAGAGCATTATATCCATGCAGTAATCAGAGACCTCTCTAGATTTAAACTGCTGGTTGACAAGTAATTCTTTACTACTTGGGATTATTTTTCCCTTTAACATTTACAGTTCTAAGCATATAAAGTTTGTGTTACATTCACAAAAGAAACTGACACATGCACATATTTAAGAAATTCAGAAGGCCCGCTTACTTTGAAAGGGAAGATGGTGTTTTGACAGACAAGATGCAGCACATTCAGTTTCAAACAATAAAACTTTCAAACAGAATTAAAAGGATGGCCCTGCAAAGTTCACTAACAAGGTTTGTGTGGAGTGCCAGTTATCTTTGAAGTTACTCATTTCTCGGTGCGCAAAAAGGACAGACAATCCTATTCTCATACATAATTTTTTTTTGTGTTCTAGTTAGAATTAGAACATAAGGACATGATATTAATGGACAGGGCTTCACACCTCCTCCGCACTGCCTCTCCACTTTTGTGCTGCTGGTCTCAGATAAGTAAAATAGAGAAACAATACCACAATACAGCTGCAGGCTTCCTGCCCACTGTTCAGCCATTATTCTTCATGCTGGTGAACTTTCAGAACAGTGCTCAAACTTCTTTGAAATTTCCTCTCAAATTCTCCCTACTTCATAGGAAAGTTCCTCAGAAGGAGGAGTGGTTTTACTGCATACAATCACAAGGTCTGGTGTTAACTAACCACTATCTGAATTAGAGGCAAGGGATGAAAAAAGAGAAAGCCCATTACAAGGATGAACTTCTTGAAGAAATTGACCACCCTATGGTAAACTGGGATTAGGAAAAAAAGTCTCACCAGAAAGCCCAGGTATTTGACCATCACAATGCTTAGTGTTCTTATTAAGCAAAGCACATTACTGGAAAGTTTCGCCTTTCATTAGAAAAGGTACTTCTAATTCTCAAATGAGCTTGATCCCTAAAGGTTCCAAACCAAGACAAAAGCTAGAAGTTTGAAAACTTTCCAATTTTTAGATGGCTGGGATTGGCATTACTGTATATTTTCCAGATATTCTGAAACATTTTAGCAAGCTTAGTTAGCACTCTCCACAAATTACACAGTATTTTATGATTTCCATAGACATCACTTTCCTCCATCAACATACACAAGTTTAAGCCCCTTCTTAAAAGATAGCAACATACTCAAACACTGAGTAGTGCTGAACAGCAAGTCCAGATAGATGACAAAATATATTTTACTCC